TCGGAGAGAAAATGGGTACTAAATTCCCGCCGCTCCTTCTGGCTATACACCACTGTAATTAGGCCTATCTCTACCGTGCGGTGGTATGGTGATCCAAACCAAGGGTAACCCTGACTCAACAAACTAAAAAACCCAAAGCTTATAGCTGCCATGGCCTCCCTCTTCACTTAGTGCGGAAGAAGGAAGCAGCGAGGAAAGGGATCAGATTGCCCTGGAATACACAAAGCTGCAAAATACTGGATTGTACAACAATTAAACATTCCTGAGTACATATACAGGATTTCAGCCTGTGTGGCCCCCAAATACCGCCACGACAAGCCCTCCGGTACAAGGAAGTCTGTAAGCACAGTCCAGAATTTGAGAAAGGAGCTTTATGCTGGTACACAAATGGTTCCAAGTAGAAGGATATGGTAGAAATAAGAATAAGAGGGTCTAATTATTATACTCTCTCAATGGGCTTAGTAACCACTCCTAATAGCTATAATCAGGTGTGCAGAGGTCATTGTGGCCAAAGGGCTGCTGGATGCGCGCATTTACATCTACTCGGACATTCAGGCAGTTCTCAAGGCTGTAGCAGCTCGCTTCCTGACTTCCCAACTGCTCATCGAATGCTACACAAAATTGAAAAAAGTAGCCAGGTATAATCGTGTTACGTTAGTGTAGGTACCACTACCAAGACATGGGGAATAGCCGACTGGCACCAAACATCACGAAATTGGAGTACCAGCAAGTCTAGCTGAAGGAGTGATAAAAAGTGAAAACGTCTATGGTAATCTGCCCCTGGACTAAGACAATCCAAGAAACTGATCAGCTTCCAGGCTCGTTGCTAGCACTCGGCGCAGAAGTGAAGTAAGGTCTGGTCACTGCCCCTTGAGATATCAACGCAACAAAATCGGAGTAGCTGCTGCTTCGAGGAGAAATCTGCTGGTGTGAGGCTCCGAATAGAGATTACAAGATCTGGACGAAGCTGTAATAGCACCTCAGTAAATCAGGGAGTTGCAGCCCAGATGATCCTAAGATTTTTCAGAGTGTGTCTCTCGGAGTAAGACATTGGGGCACGCACAATAGATCCAAGGGTCAAACTGCGTAAGCATGATATAGCTCAACCCAAGGAGGGAAAAAAGGTCTAGGTAGGCTGAAGTGCTTGGTACACCTTTTGTGCTTAGTCTTTCTTCTGAAACAGC